CTTTGGCCCCAGCTCCACCCACCCAGCACTTTGCAGTTCACTGAGCACCCAGCACCATACTCGGGGTCTCAGCCTCTCCTCTCCCTCCCTGGACGCCTGCACCAGGCCACTCGACCTCCCTCTCTCCACATCACGTCCACATCATCTCTGCGCCTCTCAGACGCACACATGGAGACCCAGAAGCACTGGCTCTCGGCTGGCTGTGCCTCGAGCAGTTGGGACCTGAGTTCCTTTCCAAAGCTCTGGGCCCAGCCAGGACCCTGGGGGGCAGAGGAGGCGGAGCAGGAGGGAGAGTAAAAGCGCTGACCAAACCCCCATTTCCCAGATTGGGGGTGGGGGTGGGTGTGGACCGGAAGGCAGCGCTTCAGAGCATTTGGTGTTTTGGAAACACCTAAAGAGAGGCTGCTCCTGGGAGTGGGAAAAGTGGATTAAAAAGTGGGTTTCAGGGGTGTAGACTCACCAGCATCCAGATCTTGTCGACATCACTAACTGTGTGACCTCAAGCAAGACACTTAACCTCTCTGATTCTGTTCTTTCATCTGGGGCCGGAAGGATAATAATACCTATTTCCCAAGGTCCAGAGAATTAAACGAAGTTTGTGAAACCTGTGTATGAGGCCTCACACACAGCTCTCTTCCCTCATCCCCTCTAAAACCCTGCCCTCCAGGCCTTGCTGGAACTGAACTGGGGCCCTTGGCCGGTCGGGCAGGGCCAGGATGGGGGGCATTTAGTCGCCCCCGGAACCTGGGGGTCTGCCCCATATTTCCAGGCTTAAATAACCGTGCGCCTTTGTTATTCGTCGGCAGCAAAGTGGTTCGTTACGCCTGATTGGTCTAATTGCTTTGAAATGGGATATATTATCTATAATTATAGAGCTCTAGGAGGAGCCGACGGCCTCTGCTTTCATCTTGCCCAAGTGCACCCTCTTGTCACGATCACATTAAGTTGGGCCATTTGGGGGGTGGGGGGGCTTTCTCTTCCCCAGATCCTAACCCCCTTACCCCTCCCGAATTTGAAGACACAAGGGAGCATGTGGGGGAGGGTAAGGAGGGGTCCCGAGTCCTGAGTCAGGCTGTGTCTCTTCCTGGCCACGCTGGGTAAAATCCACGGCACACCGGAGAGGCGTTCGAAAGAAGGAGAAAACGCTTCAAATAATAGCGATTTTGATGCGGCGGTAAGGAAGGGCTCCAAAGCTCTCCGGAGGCACCAGAATCCTGTCAGGGTTCTGGACGTCTTGCTCGGAGCTGTGTGCTGGAGCCCTGCCGTATCTAGATTTCTCATCTCGTCAGGGGCTTTCTCTGGAAAGCTATGAAATTCTCCCGGCACGAGAGCGGCTCCCAGGCGGCTTCTCAAACCTGACTGCCGTCCCTCCACTCCTAGGTAACAGAGGCCAAAGATGAGACGCGGGATCCGGAGGGCCCCTGGCAGGTTTGCAGATCTGGGGACAAGGCTTACCCCCCCCCCACTCCACACCGACACAAAATACCTCTTCCAGGCCCCTCTGCCGCCCTCCTGGCGATTGGTGAATTCCCACCAAAATCAATCGTTCCGGGTAATCGGTTTTCATAGCACATTCACTCCATTAAAGAGGATTGTTTGGGGCTCCTAATTGCCGGGGGATCCCACTGAGCTGCACATTTTAAAAAATGCACAGGGGATTCCTGGGCCCAGGCCACAAAATGTATTGGAAAAGGGGAGGGGGAGGGAACATAAACAAAAACTTTAGGGAGGCGACAGCGGAAGCTGCAGTAACAGACGAGCCCAAAGAGGCGTCCCGTCCGGGTGCAAGGCTCAAAGAGCAGCAAGCCTTAGGACGGGACCCTCCTGAAAGTTAATTTTTGTGGAAGAGGGGCGCATCTCTAGGAACCACGCCGCCCTGCTCCCGCCCGCCCGGGCACACGTCCTTAAAACGAGAGTTGGATGGGGGAGGGGAAAAAACCCACCACGAGTTTAGTTGCCCAGGAAGTGGTCGCAGGAGACACTGTCTTTAGGACGCGAGGTGCAGAGGCGCTTTGGGGGAGGGGGGCAGTGCTTCAGGACAAGGGAGGCAGAGGGGAAGGGAGGGGGCCGGCGAGGACTCGGGAGCGCCAGAGCTGAGCTTTATCTGCCGCGGGCCAGCCCTGCTCTTGCCAGGCATGAATTACAGCCGTGATCCAGGGCGCCTGGAAGCGCTGGGCAGAAGCGTCCGGGTGGGTGCTGGCGGCGAGATAACAGGCGCAGCCCCCCACCCTGCAGCTCCTGAGCGCAGCAGCCCGGAAATCGGTCAAGGCCGGAACCAAACCTAGCCACAGATGCGCCCTCCCACTGCTCCCCAGCGCGCGTTGCGCTCTTGCGGGACTGAGCCGTAGGCACCGGTAGAGCAGCGCGTGGTTTCTTCCCGCCGAGTCCCCTTTCTGCCCCCAGCACCTTTTCCCGGTGGCCGTACGGCGGCCCAAGGGGAGCCCCGCGCCGTAGGGATGCGCGCTCCAGGCTGAGACCTGCGCTCGGCACCCGCGTCCTCTCCTCGGCGACGCTGGCACCCCGAAGGATGCGGGTGCGGCAGGGTTCGGGGACGGGCTCGAGAAGCACCTCCGGGCCCGGGGCGCGGGCGGTTTGCTCCCTGGAGGCGAGGGCACGACTTCAAGGGCCCCTGCGTCGGCTGCAGCCTTTGATCCGGCCGCCGCTGGCGCCTAAAACCAACATCCTCGTCTGCCTATTAGGCGCGCTGAGGGATCGTGACAGATTGTTTATCCCCGCAATTAGCGACGCGGCCCTTCTCAGGCCGCCTTGCCGAGCCTGCGCCAGGCCTCTTGAGCCGGGCGCCTGCGGCCGCTGTGAGTTTTACCAGGGACCCCTGCGTGCGGCGCGGCTCCACTCTCGGGGTTCGAGCCCCCCTGGACCCTAAGCCCAGGCGGACTCCAAAAGGCCCCAGACCTTCCCCGCCCGCTCGCTCCCTGAACTTGTCCGCCCAGTGCCGCGGCTGTGGCTTGGCCGATGCGCACTTATCCGGGGAGAAAGTTTTTAGTTTCATCAGATCCTCAAAACGATCTGAGAGTCAAACATTCTGAGCTGCAGGACGATGACGACCGAACAAAGCAAAGCCCCGACGGAAAGACACGCTGACCGCTTTAAAAACACTGCCAGGAAGAGCCCAGGGCCCCGTTTCCTCCCGCTTGCACCCCAGGGAGCGCGGATCGAGCTGCCTGCTGAGAGGCTGGCGCGGTTATCCCGACCCAGTTTAATTCGAATCGCGAGGGACAAAAGTGCGCTGTCCCTCCGGGGCTGCGAACAAGGTGTCTGGCCCACAACCTCGCTGAGCTGGGCTTTAATGTGGGGTGGCGCGAGCTTCTGCCTGCGTCTCCTCGGGGAAACTTCGGGCCCCCCCACCCCCTGGCACAGCGTGCCCAGCTGGGCAGAAGCGCGCCCGAGGCCCCAGGCGGCCCGGCGCCCCAGCTGCAGTCTCCTCCGATGGGCAGAAACCAGGAGAGGCCAAATAAATCGTGCAACTTCGAGTCCTCGCGAACCGCCCCCCCCCCAGGCCTCCACGCGGCCAGGGGCCTGGAGTCCGCAGCCTGACTCCTCCCGCCAGACCCCGGACGCCGTCCGGGTAATAAAGTTCCTGGTCTAGTAATTCATTTTCCTTAATCTGGACATCCCTAATCTATAGCTTTTATTGCGCCCAGTTAAAAGGCAAGGGAATTCGCTGTCCCTGCGCGCTCGGATAATTACCCCTAAACGGCCGCGGCAACCCCTGGTGTTTCCTGGAGATTAGAACCCTGCGGCCCTCAAGGGCCAGCCTGGTGAGCCGCCAATCACCTCGCCAGCGCCCCGGGAGCCGCCGGCCTGGGCCGGGATCAGAGACCATAAAGCAGGAGGTACAGAAAGACCCGGGACCAGACTGGAGTTTGCAGGTCTCTTGTATCTTTCCAACTCCAATTCGTTTTTGCTCTTTTTCAACAGAAAAAAAAAAAAAAATCACGTTTCCTCCGAAATTGGCAAAACAAAAGTTCTTAAGCCAAACCGGAGGATCCACTCCCAAGAGTTACTTTTTCTCCTGGCCTTCTCTCCCTCCCAATGCGCCTCTATCCCTCGGCGATTAGCGACCCCGAGATAGGGGCGTATTGTTGTTCCCGCGGACGGCTCGTCTGAGGTCACCTTAAGGCCAGATCTGTGTTTTGTTGACGTTTTTGTTGGTTTTATTTCAGTAAATGCCCTCACAAAGGGATCCGGCTGCTCCTTTCCCAGCCGGTCACTCGTAGAGGCGACACCCGCCCCAGGAAAGTTGGGGAGATGGGGTGGGGGCTAAAGACAGGTCCTGTAAACCAATTCTAGATCGCAATGCTGTTAGCTATCCTGCACCCAGGCAACTGACAGCAGCTCGTCTTCCTCCGGCAAACTTTGCTTTAACTCCCGGGCAGACACAAAGGCTCACTCCTGGGGGAAATTGTGAAGACTGAAACAGAGGAACAGAATTACGAGTTGTAAAACATAGATATTATTGTGTCTTTCTACTAAGACAGACAACCTTGCGCATATGTTTTTACACATAGGAAAGGAATTTGTAAGAAATGAGCACAACTGAAAGGGGCGCAGATCGAAGAGAAAGTAGAGAGAAAAAGTAAGACTGAAGGAAATGGTAAGAGAAATGAAGCAGCGAAAGAAAAGGGGCAAAAAGGGGGGAGAGGGACGGGGGCCATAAAAGAAGGGGAGAAGGAAGATGACAGAAGGGAACAAGACTCAGTTCTCCAGGAACACAGGAAGACGGAGATGCACGGGCACCGAGCCGACTGGGGCCGCCGGGCCTTAGCGCGGAGCAGTCTCTGGGTGCCCCCTCCCCTCCTCTGCGCCCCGGGCCGCCCCAGCCCCTCGCACCCCCAGGCCCAGCGAGCCTCGGGGCTCGTCCCCAAGAGCGCGGCCCAATGGACCGCTCCGGGCCCGCCCCCTCGCGCGCTGATTGGCCGCCGCCGCGCTGGCCTCGCCTTATTAGCAAGTTCTCTGGGGAGCTGCGCCGGACCCGGAGCCCGCGAGTGCGCTAGGGGAGCTCGGCCTGCGCGAGGCGGCGGCGGCGGCGGCGGCAGGGAGCCAGGCCTAGCGCCCCAGCGCCCCAGCGCCCCAGAGCCGGCCTTCGGGAGCGGCGGGAGGCGCAAGCGCGGAGAGCCCGCCCGGCCAAGGCCCCGGGCGCTCCCAGGCCGCCTGAAGCCCATGCCTGGTGGCTGGCCTGTGCTGCGGCGGGAGGGGGGCCCGGCTCTGCATGGCCCCGGCTGCTGATATGACTTCTTTGCCACTCGGTGTCAAAGTGGAGGACTCTGCCTTCGGCAAGCCTGGGGGGGGAGGCGCGGGCCAGGGCCCTGCCGGCACCGCGGCCACGGCGGCCGCCACCATGGGCGCGGAGGAGGAGGGGGCCAAGCCCAAAGCGTCGCCGTCGCTCCTGCCCTTCAGCGTGGAGGCGCTCATGGCCGATCACAGGAAGCCCGGGGCCAAGGAGGGCGCGCTGGCGGCCCCCGAGGGCGCGCAGGCGGCGGGCGGCTCGGCTCAGCCGCTGGGCCCCCGGCCCGGGTCGCTGGGCCCCGCAGACGCGCCCTCCTCGCCTCGGCCGCTTGGCCATTTCTCGGTGGGAGGACTCCTGAAGCTGCCGGAAGATGCGCTGGTTAAAGCTGAGAGCCCCGAGAAGCCCGAGAGGACCCCGTGGATGCAGAGCCCCCGCTTCTCTCCGCCCCCAGCCAGTGAGTAGCCGAACCCGGCAGGGGCTGGCCGGGAGGGGGTGCGGGACCCGGGGGCGCCTGGCGCGCACCGGCGCCTGCCTGTCTCGGCGTCTGGTACCTGTAGCTGGATACCTGGAGGCCACGCTGCGGGGCGTCACGGGCTGCGGGTTGGCTGCTGCCACCCAGGAAGAGCTCGGGTCCTGGCGGAGGCCCAGCTCGAGGTCCATTTTCGCGGGCTCCTCTCCTTGGCGTTGTGACGCTGCGGGGTGGGAGGTCACTTGCAGGACACCCAAGCTGGGGCACCGCTTCCCCGCACCCACAAAAGGACCCTGCTTCACCATCTGACCTTAAAACCTGCTCCTCTGCATTTCTCCGAAGGACAGGATGGGTCGTAGCGGCCCGGGCATCTTCCCTGTGCATGGAGTTTCACTTTCTTCTAACAGGCTGCCCCCCATCCGATCCATCGTATAAACCTCTTTTTGCCAAGAGGTTCCTCGCGCATTTCAAGTTTGAGGCAGCGGCTTAGGGCGTCGGGTGCAGGGCTGATCCAGGGGGAGGGGCAGCCTCGGTCCCGTAGAGGGGGCGGGGCAGGCACCAAGTCTGCGGAAGGCGCTATCTTTTCCAAAGCTCTCAAGCCTTTGGGACTGGGCCAGCGTGAAGGACACCAGGCACTAACAGCTCGCCCTAGGGCAGGGTAATTCCAAAGCCTGTCGGGCCCGGGCTTCTGTGCCCGGCGAACACTCCTCAGAGATATTTCAGGAGCACGGGAAATTCCCAAGTTTTCCTCGTTTCCTTCGATTATTTTGTGCAGCATAATAGTAGCATAAATTCAATGGCGCGATGCTGAGGAATGATTTTTATCTGGGGATTAAGCGTCTTTGAAAAGCCGGCCCCTCCCTGGGCCTAATGGCCAGTGAAGGTGGCCTGGCGCTGGGTTGTCCCTGCTAAGAAGGTGACGTTTCCCTCGCATCTGCCCCTCCGGTGGCCCTGAGGAAAGCAAGTCTCAGCCAACAGCTTCCCGGACTCACAGTGGCTGGGGGAATAAGGGGATATTAGCTCACGATTTCATTTGACTCACATCCTGATGGTCAGAGAGACCAAAGGTCATTACCCAAAAAAAGGGGGGGGGTGCAGGAAATGAGAGAAAGACTGTATAAGCAAAACTCGAGTGGCCAAGCACCCTCCTTAATCCACCTTCCCCTGGCCAAGCCGCTGTGTGGGCAAATCTTCCTCCCCACTCGACTTCGAGAGTTCAGCTGAGGGCCTTGGGCCCAGCATCCCAAAGTTAACTGGGTTCTGGTTGCCCTGGAAATAATCTGTTGCATGTTTTATCTGGGTTCAGGTGAGCGATGCAGCTCTGGAGAGAGAGGTGCACACGGTAGCCCCCAGTGCCAGCCCTGTTCTCCCTCCAGGTCTCCATCCTTGAGGGTTATTTGGAAGCCAAAATCAGAAGACTGTCGGGCACCGTAGGTGCCTGCCAAGAGCCACAATCGAAGCCACCCCTGAGACATATTAGAATATGTCTCGTGCCCAAGAGAGAAGGAGTATGTCAGAAGAAGGTATTTCTCCTCTGCTCAGAGCACCTGATATGTTTAAGAGGGTGGGGTCACCATCTTACCTCTGTGACAGCCACTTCCCCCATCAAGGCCTGCCCCCAGGACCCTGCAGAGGGGGGGGGAAGCGCAAGATTTGGGGATCTGGAATCTACAGCAGATGGTGGCCCCGCCCAGCACTGGGTGCTTGGTGGGCACGGATGAATGTCTGGCAAAGGGCATAAAGCTCTGTGTGATGTTGGGCTGGGTGCAGAGCTTCTTCCTGTGGGTTTTGTTGCCGGTATTGGCATCCGCCGGTCAGTGGCTGAGGCAGAGGCCTCACCGTGAAAGGCCGTGTTAACCTGCCGACCTGAGCAGAGGTGTGTCTACTAATGCCCAGCTGAACGTGGGCACTAAGGTTTTGAATATGAGTGTGCTGCATCTGGAATCTTAGCAGAGCATTTGCAAAAAGTAGACAGGACTGTCTTCCTTGTGGGGATGCAGCCGGGACTGAAGGAAATGTTTTTCAAAAGCCTTCTTCGGAGCTGGAGTTGGCACTGTGTCGCCCATGCTGTAGGCCAATGACAGCGCCGCTCTCGCCCTCTTAACCCCCTGCTTCTTTCTCTCTCGGCCCCTTAGGACGGCTGAGTCCCCCAGCCTGCACCCTTCGCAAGCACAAGACCAACCGGAAGCCGCGAACGCCTTTCACCACCGCGCAGCTGCTGGCCCTGGAGCGCAAGTTCCGCCAGAAGCAGTACCTGTCCATCGCGGAGCGCGCGGAGTTCTCCAGCTCCCTCAGCCTCACCGAGACGCAGGTAAAGATCTGGTTCCAGAACCGCCGCGCCAAGGCCAAGAGACTGCAGGAGGCCGAACTGGAGAAACTGAAGATGGCAGCGAAGCCCATGCTGCCCCCGGCTGCCTTCGGACTCTCCTTCCCCCTCGGTGGGCCAGCGGCCGTCGCGGCAGCAGCGGGCGCCTCGCTCTACAGTGCCTCTGGCCCCTTCCAGCGCGCCGCCCTCCCAGTGGCCCCGGTGGGACTCTACACTGCGCATGTGGGCTACAGCATGTACCATCTGACATAGGTGGCCCGGTAGTGCCCATCGGTGGTGCCAGCTAATTCCTCCAGTCCGCCTCTTCTGTGAGCAGCAGGATTCCTACAACTGTCTCCTCACTCAGCACCGCTGACCCCTTCCCTTTAACCCCCACGCTCACCCGGATTCCCCTGATTGCTCCCTGAGATCACTCTCTGAATCTGATCCCATCCCAAAAAGTGGCTGGGAGAGTCATTAGTACTGGATCTGCACAGGCCCTCGAGCTACTGACGGGCAAACTTGGGCCAGAGAGGCCAAGAGATTCGTGCAAGGTCCCACGCAGCAGAACGAGCAGCGGAGCAGGACAAGAGGCCGCTGTGTCTGCGCACTGCTGCTCCCTGCCTCACACCAAGCAGGAAAAGTGGAGAGAAAAAGAGAACATTCGAGAAGATGCCATCCCCTTCCTTTGGAAAATTTAAGAGCACTCCAGCAGCCAAACATTGCTTTGGGGGGGGCAGGGCACACAGACGCATTTCGAAGGTAGGTTGAAGGGGTCTCTTTCACCAGTACCAGAAAAAAATTGTAAAATTAAAAAAGATCTGTTTCTATTTAACAGTTCATTTCCATGGCTCTCAAGACTCCCTTTGGAAGGGATTGTGTGTACTATGTAATATACTGTATATTTGAAATTTTATTATCATTTATATTATAGCTATATTTGTTAAATAAATTAATTTTAAGCTACAAGCAGTGATCTCTTCACTGATTCAGTCTTGCATTTTAATTTTACTTCTTCACATGTACAGTTGCTTTTGCAGTTTCACGATAGCTTTACACAGCAGCTTTCAGAGGTGACAGGATTGCAGGCACACAGCAGCAGGTGTCATTTGGAGCACACAGGACAGAATACCTTAGCAAAGTCAAGTGGAGAATTGGGGCAATTATCTAGAATAATGAGGCTCAATTTTCCATTTCCCATTCACTTCAAGCTGAAATAGACACTTGCTCAGGCGACCCATAACTGACTCTTTATCTTCCCTCCCCTTTTAACCTGTCTGTGAAAACAAAGTGAACTCCCAGAATGGTCCCTGGCTGTAGGCAGCTGAACGAGCCGGTTCCCACCTCCCTCCCAACCTGGTTTTCCCACAGGAGGCCAGAGGAGAGAAGAAATGGCTTTGCCTCTAAGTCGTTGCCAGGGTGGAAAGTTTGTGGAACCACTTTTGAGCTGCCAGATGATAGTGCCTTTGCACCCCTACTGCAATCCCCATGACAAAAGCAGAATCACATGGCCTAGGGACATCAGAGTTCCCAGGAAACCTCGGGCCTCCGTAGACTCCTCTCACCTTGGCAATCTCTTAGCAAGGCCCTGCTCCACAGTGCTCACAAACTTGGCTTTTCTTTTACTTAATAAGTTCAAGCTCCAGGGAGAACATACAGTATTCGAACAACTACCAAGTCAGGCCTGTTGGCAGGAATTCGGCAAAGACGTGGGAGACAGTCAATAAAGCCCATTATGTTCCCCATACCTCTGGGTTCTCCATAGTGTTGGGAGGCTCGTTTAATTCTCACCAAATATGTGCACCCCTCTTCCTCAGCCTCTGTCTGCTGGGCGGCTTTTGCAAGCAAACTCCACACAGGAAAGTCCTGGGCAGCCTTGGTCTGTAGCAGTTAAAAAGAGAAGCAGTAGATCAAGGGCTCTTAGGACTGGGGCTGGCACAGGATGTAAGGAGAGACCAGCAGCCATCTCTCCACAGACAGAAAAGGAACTCCAGTGCACTTGCCTTTTCTAGCCTGGGCTGGAGGTCAGCCTAGGAACTCCCAGAGCCCAGGGTTGAGTGGACCTAGCCCCTGTGCACCCAGCACTGCTTCCAGGTCCTTGGACCCTCCCTCCCCAGGTGCTAGATCCCAGGTTCTATCCCTTCCCAGTGCAGCTGTGGTCTGAACTTGTCCCAGCCCTTGCCCTAAGAGGAGACAAAGTTGCTGTGGAGTGCTATTCCCCACAGCAGACAGTCCTAGAGGGGACTGGGCAGGGACCCTCAGCCCAGGGCTTCCAGAAGCTTGGCTACACATGACCAGGTTTTGGGACTTCTCATCCCAGAGGAGTTCCACCCACCAGGTCTCTGACTTCTGTGCCCTTGGGGCCTGTTAAAGGCATCTGAAGGCTGGCACTGTCCTTACAGATACTTGCAGGCAGAAAGGGTTACCCCCAGTTCCTTTTCTCCATAAATTAAGCAGCTCACCAAAGACACCTGCAGTTCGCCCTCACCCCCAGAACAAATGTGGGTTCCTTCCTGAAGACCCTCTGGCAGTTCTCTGGTCTTAGTGGATTCTGTTCTGTTGATCCAAACCAGCCTGTGACTGATGGGCCGACCTCGGATAGGTGAGCTCCCATTACCTCTCCACCTTGGTTTCCTCACCTGCGGAATGGGCCTGCGGCTCTCCCGCCGTCCCAGGGAGCCTCCTAGCGCCGACCAGACCTGAGATTTCTCAGCTCCACGGATCACGTTTGCAGCGCTGGAATCCTTTCTGCTTCTTGGGTATAGAAAAATGGCAGGGCGGGATCGGGTGTCCCCCTCAGCCGAGCTCTGGGGCCTCGCGGCTCCTCTGAGTTTGGTAATTTAGGGTCGAGGCAAATTTAGAGCAACATAATTGCGGTAATGAGCAACGGTTCGCTCTCTGCAGACGCGCCGCGGCTCCAGCGAGGCGGTAGCTGCAGGCGAGGCGGGCGCGCTTCCCCGCCCCCTGCGCACCGGGTCCCGGTCAGCGTGGAAAGGGCCCGGCTACCCAGGGGGCCCCGCCAGCGCGCGCCTCTGCCCCTTGATAAGTTTCCCCTCGACCTCGGCAGCGGCGTTTTTTTTTTTTTCTTTGATTTTTGGTTTTTTGTTTGTTTTGTTTTGAATTCCTTCTCCTCTGGCCCTTTCATTCCCCCACCCCCGCTCGGAATACCTTTTCTCCACAAAGTGTGCTCACAAAAGGCGCTCAATAAATGCTGGCTGGCTGCGGGCCGCATGCTGGTGTAGGTGACACTGGTGCGGGGTGACGCCCCGGCCACATTCTGTGGAGCCCAGAGGGAATTCCCTGCAGGGCCCCGCGCACCACTTCAGGCCCACTCTAGTCCTCCGAACTCAGGTCCCAGCTAAAAGGCAGAGCAGTGTGGGCAGGGGGACCCAGGTCTGATCTTTCAGGGATCTGCTTCTCGATCCATTTAGTACCTTAGGGTCTAGGTGCAGTTACCACACACGGCGCTGGGCGCCATTCTGGAGACCGAGCCCGCTAGCTTTTGCAGTCAGAGCCTACTATGTGCTGAGGCTTCCCGCCCGAGGGTGGCTGGCAGCGCACTGCGCCCCAAATGTGCAACCGGGAGGACTGAGGCCCCGGGAGGTGATCTGGTTCCCTCAAATTAACAGGCAGACAGGGATGCTTTCCTCTTCGCCAAACCACCCGGTGTTAGAATGGGCCCTGGAAAACCAGGTGCTGGGGTCTAGGGCCTTAGCTCCGAGTTCAGCTCCCTGGACCCTGGGCCGGGCTGGCATCTCACCTCCCCGCATGCGCAGCCTTGCAGGGGAGCCGCGGGCTGTGGACTGCGATTCTGCCTGTGCTGCAGGAGAACCCAGGCTCCCTTGGCCTGGATACTTTGGGCAAGAGCGAGGTCAGCGCGTGTCCGGGCCTCCCAGTTCGGTTCAGGTCTGCGGGGTCCCAGCATCTGACCCACAAGGCTGGATCGAAGAGACTGGAAAGTTCGTTTTAGGGTTTGCTTCTCCGCTCAAGTTCTGAACACAGACACTCGCGAGGCGGAGACCCGAGCGCCCATCCCACTGTTGTGTCCCCTTTCGTGACCTCAGACCCCGAGGTGAGCCCAGCTGGGTCCAGGTCTGTACTCCTCCCGCAAGCCTCGGGGGCGCAATGGGAAGCAGCGAGCAGAAGCCGCGGCAGCCTTTCAACTCGGCGGCTGGCGCCTGCCTGGCCGGGCCCCGGGGCCGCGCGGCCTCCCTGGCTCCGTCCCGCCCTCTCTGCCACTTGCTTGCACCACCGCAGGCGGGGGACAGTCCCTGCCACGGATGCCCCCAAGAACCCCCACCAAGCGCCCCTCCCCAAGGCTTCCCGCGCCCCCACTGACTCCCGGAAATCCCTAGCGCTCCACGCTAGCTTGAGTCCCCTGCGGGCACACAGCGGTCTCCACAGGCCCCGGAGGAGCCCGCGTCACCCCGCTGCTCCTCCACAGCGCCCTCCCGCGGCCTCAAGCCCTGCTCTCCAAGAGCGCCTCCGACCTTGCTCCCTCCAGCCTACAGGCGCAGACGCAGGCATCATGAGCACAGCGCCCCGAATTACACACCAGACCGACACGCGCGGCACACAGAACAAGCATCTGACACCCACACGACATACCTCGCACACGCACAACCAGCGCACATTACCAACCCTCCACAACCGCGGTGCGCAATACACGTTCACCCACAATCAGGCGCCAACACCCGCGCGCTGCGTTTCACAGAGGGATACGTTCCACTCCTCGACGCTCCTTTCCTGAGACCTGGTGACCTGGGAGCCACCTAATCTTGTGTCCGTGTGGAAAAGGAGACCCAGAGACAGACACAGATGGATTCAGATAAAACCCGGAAAGGAGATCCAGCGAAATTTCAGAGGCAGGGACCAAAAGAGGAGGCTGAGCAGAGAGAGGCGCAGGGCAGACGGCTCACTGCACCCGGATGGGAGGATTGTGTGTGCACGCACACGCACGCATGCTTGTACACGCAGGGCCTGGCTCCCACACACATGTGCACGGGTCTCCTTTCTCTTGCCCGTGTGCTCCTAGGGGCCCCAGCTCGCCCGCAGGTCGGCCTCTCCTGTCAGCGCAGAGCACTGTTCTCTAGACCCGATGTCCTGCTTCCGCGTGGGTTAAATGCAAGACCCAGGTCTGCACTGTCCCTCAGGAGTCAGGCTCCGACCCAGGATCGGCTGTCAGGAGAAGGCAGCTGTCGGTCAGGGCGGTCTCTGGCCTCCGGAGCCCAGGTCTCTGTAGATGAACTCCGGTTTCGGCACTTATTAGCTGTGCGACTTGGGACAAATTACTTAAATTCTCTGAGCCCCCTTTCCCCAGAGAAAAGGTGTGGGCTTGCAAGAATTCTTACTAGTACGGGGATAAAGAGGTGCTTGACATCCAGCAATAAATGGACTGTGAATACCTCCGAGAGCCGAATATCAAAGCGGGGGCTGGGTCTGCACCGACCAGGAGTCCGAGGACCAATGACTAAGTGCGGGGCTGGAATCCAGGCTTCTCCCCAGGGATGGTGGCCTCTCTTTCCCTGAGGTTTTGGAATTTGCCCCCTAATGCCGGGTTCCCAGGGTCACCAAAGAGCTGCCTTTGGAGAGCTGGGAGCAAATTCAAAATCCTGCCCTCAATTCGAGTCTGATTAGGGGCAGATGAGGCGAGCAGCTCTCAGCCTGCAATCTTTCACCCCCCCATCTCTACCCCCCCCCCCCCCATGCAGCAGCTCGGCGAGGCGGACTTTTCTGGTTTCCGGCGAGGAGCCTGGGACTATATCTGAACCCGCGATCCTGAGAGGCAGGGGTCGCACCTTCCCGCATCCGTGTGCAGAGACCTGAAGACCTGGGGACCTGTGTGTGTGTGTGGGGGGGGGGGGATGCTCTCCAAGAGCGCGAGGAGGGGGGCTGTGCGTGGTTTCGAGCGCGCTGCTTGGGGAAGTTGGGGTCCTCGGAGGCGCAGGGAATCCGCGCGGCTCGGAAGCCACGCCTCGGGCCACTTCCCGGAGCACTCAGCAGCGCCCTGCCTCTCCGTCGCCACGCGGGCGGTTCCCAGATGGGCGTCACCATCTTTCTGACTGGGCTATTTTATGAAAGATTCGCTGTCCGTTTTCCCTTTGATGATCTTTCTTGGGTTCCTCCAGCCAGAAACACTGGCAGCCGGTGTTTGGGGAAGGCTGGGGCCTGGGGTGAGTTTCCTCACCTCTGGAGGTTCTCTGTTAAAGGGGACAAAGAGCCTACAGGGTGGGAGGAGATCGGAGGGAAAGGGCTCTCCGCGCGCTGTCCCTGTGTCACTCATGGTTCTAGGCTGACGAGGACCTTGGAGGCGTCCTTGCCCCGGTCCTGCCTTAGCGGAGCTGTCCTGAAGCGTTGGCCGCGCAGTCTTTCTGACGTCTCCACTGGATCACACCAAGGAAGGCTCGCTGCCCGGAGCGGGTGCGCGGGCCACCGTTAATCATCCTCATTTCACAGATAAGGAAACTGAGGCCCGCGGTGGGATAACTCGGGCAGGATCACGCAGCGGTGAAGGTCCCATCAGAGCTCCTAACCACGGAGCCGTCGGCTGGGAGCTAAGCCTCGGTTACCGCTCCCAGGACAGAATCCCCCGCAGGCTGGGGCGAGGGAGCCGCGCGCAGCCTTCCTGGGTCGGCTCAGAGCCACAGTGGAGACTGAAGTCTCTGCGATTCTCATTGGCTGCTGCCTCCTCGTCCTCTGAGGCAGTGGGGAAAGGGGGTCTGAGGCTGGACAGTACTTGGGGTGGGAAGCAGGGGGTGCCAACTCCTCCTTGACAGAAGGGGAAAGACAATTATCAGTTCACTCTGAACCTACGGTTAAGAGACCGACTTCATCCACCCGGAGGAGCAAGTCCTCCTGTGACCCTCACCTTGGTGAGAGAGCCGAGGCAGCGCTGAGTGACACACTGATCCTCACGCAGGGTTCCCAGCGACGCGACTGCAAAAAGGCAACCAAAGGTGAGGTGCCTGAGCTCTGGGCAGAATCCCCGGCCCTCCTGCAGGGTTCACCATCTCCTTGCCCCCGTCACCGCAGTCCTTCGTGTTCATTGGGAAACAGGCTGAAAGGGGTCCCGCAGTGCGGTCAAAGGCACAGCAAGTTCAGGTGGAGCCGCATCTCTGATTTTGGCGCAGTGTTTGCTGTTTTTCCCACTAATCCGTTCACCTTGCCTTTTTGCTTTTGTACTGGGGATTGAACTCACAACCTCATGCTTGCCAGGCAGGCACTTTTGCCACTGAACTATATCCCCAGCCCCAGCCTGCTTTCTAAGAGCAAATCTTAACAGAGGATCCAAACTTCAGGTGAAAACAGATGTCTCCAAGCTGGGGAGTTGCAGACTGCTGCTGGTGGGAAGCCTGGCTGAAGCTGATTTTCCAGAGGGATCAAGGTCTCTCTGCAGAGCACAGACCGAAGGGAGAAGAGAAATAGAGCTCTGAGAAGAGCTGTAAAGAAATCTCCCATGGAAACCTGGCATGGTGGGGCCCGCCTGGGACCCCAACCCTCAGGATGCTGAGGCAGGAGGATTGCCTGGGCTGCACAGTGAAGTGGTCACAGCCTACCATACAGTGAGACTCTGTCTCTAAAAACCCAAAGGAAAAAATCTAGACAGACCAGCAGGTGCAGAGGCCCTGTGGTCCTGAGAGGCAGTGCTGCTGCTCGGCCAGGCTCTGCTGTTTCCAGCCCCGAGGCCCTCACCTCATCCTGGGCACAGAGGAGAGTGACAGGGGCATGGAAAGGGGATCCGTGGACCCAGTAAGATGGAAAATAGTGGTTATCTGGACCCCAGTGGTCACCGGAGGAGGCTCAGTGAACCCCTCTTACCCTGTACCACACCTCCTGTCACCATCCTGTTCCATCCTAGGGGATTCTGGGGGGAACCTGCTGCCTCACAACAGCGAAGCGAGCCCACAGCCGTGCATGTTTCTCTTCTCCTCCAGTTCCCGGCCCCAGCGCCCAGCTTGCGGCTCAGCTGTGGGGTACCCCAACATCAGCTGCACTAGCTGGCCCTGCAGGTGTGGAGGAGCTGCACTTCAGGACTGGGGTAGAGTCTGCTGGGGACACCCAGTGTCAACCAAGGCTCCAGACTCTGAGCACCTGCCCCTCCCTGTGGCACCTGGTGCTGCTGCCCCCGCCCAGCTGTGCGCCAGCTGTTCAGGCCCTTGCATGTACGCTTGGGAGCTAAAGTTTTTACCTAGGTCATGCCACTCACCTCTCTACCAACATGGGGAAACTGAGGCCTGGCCCCTAGTGTAGGACACTGGCTGCTGCCCATGACTGAGCAGCTGCTGCCAGACCCATGCCGAAGTCCGGAGAGCAATGCCACTTCCTTCTACAAGGGCTGGGCCCCAGGAAGGCCTTCCTCACAGTCCCCTCATGCCTGAGCACACTGGCTCGGAGAAGAGAGAGCCCTGTCCATGCACAGGCGGGCTGCGTGCTGACCCTGGTGGGCCCACGCTGCCAGAAGGCAGGATCTAGGGAGGTTCTGAGTTGGGCAGAGGCAGGGTGGGCATCAGAAGGGACCAATGAAATGTCCCAATGGAAGGTGTCCTGATCCTCTGAATAAACGTCTCAGTTCCAGGCCTGGGCGTCTTACAGTGCCCATCTTGGAGAGCTGGAGCCTGAATCTGTTTCCTCCCTGCTTCCCAGCAGCTCCCCCTCCTGGCCAAACTCCCCTGACCCAGCTGCTGGGATTTTATTCCGGGCTCCATTCCTGCACCAAGCAGCTCTGCCAGCCTTTTCCCCTCCAGTGAGCCACAGTAGGCACGCTGGGGCTGGCAGCTTCCCAGAGTTTACATCAGCTGCCAGCTACCAGCTGCCAGCACTACCTGCAAGGGTCCAGGGTCCAGCTGGCCCTGAGCGCTTGCCCTGAGCCTGCGCTCTGAGAGTTGTTGTCTCTCTGCACTGTGGTCTCTGAAGGAACGTGCTGCCTTACTCCCATCTGCAGATACCTCAAGATGGCCCAACAGGTCAGGCAACACACCCACGGTCTCCAAGCCCTGACCCCAGGGACCCCAGACTCCTAGCTCAGACTGCCAGCTTTTCCCGACACAGCCCAGAGGTGCCAGCTGAGCTGGAAATTTCACTGTCTGGGCCACAAGGAAACTTTCTTGTAGAGCGTCTGTACCTCACACAATGCTCTTAGGAGAAGAGCATTGGGTGGGCAAAATCCATCTAGAGGAAGCTCCCTGGGGCTGGTAAATAGGGCTCCACTGGCCCAGAGGAGTCCGCAGACAGGAGAACCAGCTGGCCCACTAAACTCCATGGCCTTCCAAGAGTGGGGAGCCAAGTCAGGGGTACCCAAGCTCTCAGACCAGAGGGTGCCGCACTGTGGCCCCGCCTCCAGCAGGCGAGTCCTGGCTCTTACAGAAGAGGGGTGAACCTCTTCTTACACTTCTTTCCCTGCCCCCATTTCTATTCCCGTTCTTTCCTCTACTTTATTTTTGATCCGTTAATATAATTTCTTAGGTTAACAGGACATTGGCTCACGGAAGTAAGATTTGTGGTGCAGGCATCGTATGAGGGGCTGAAGACCAAGCTGGGCTGCTTCCCCCACAGCTCAGGAGAGCAGGACGGCAGAATGAAGTGAGGAGCACAGCTGCCAAGCCAGGGAAGGCAGGTGTCCCACAGGCCTGGGGGCCCCCAGGAGAGGACAGAGACTACTGCCGTAGACATTTTCTTATTTCTGAGACCCAACTCCTGACACCCACAGTTAAGAGGAAGGGAGGGTTATTCTGGCTCCTAGTCTGTAGAGGTTTCAGTCTGCAGTCTCCTGGCAGAGGGGCTCTGCGGAGGAAAAGCTGCTTGCAGCATGGGGGACAGGAAGCA